TCAAGAGTAACTGTCAGCCTATCTGTCCATAAAACTATAAAAAAATAAGCTTGTGATTCTCACCGTATATTATCATGCCAAGTCACATGTAGAAGGAATTGCCATTAAAATATTAATTTAAAAAAATGTAAGCTAGCACCATGAATTTGAAACTTCTTAATTCTTTTTTTTTCTTCTTTTACAGTGAGTAATACAGAGCAAGGTCCAGAGTATGATCGCCTAAAGGGTAAGTTTACAAACTGATTATGGTATTCACTTGATTAAACAGAAATACAAACTATCTATATTATATCTAAATTTGTTTTAGAAAGATATTTCTGTTGTTGTTTTAAGGAAGTATAAATGTCACCAGAAAACTGATCTTGGTGGTCTGTGGATTTAATGAAACCCTGAAGAAATCCATATCAAAACGTTTAAGAGGAAAAAAGAATTTTTTTCCTTACTTACATCAAAAAGAGAATGTTAAAGACTGTGTGAAGAAAGAGGGGAAGATACACGGACGTAAGATCAGTCTGGTGGAGCTTCCAGCTCTGACTCGGCTCTCGGAGGAGGAAGTAATGCGAAGCACCCCGGTCAATCATAAGCCATGAAGGGAGATCAGCTGAAAGACTCGGGCATGGGTCCTGCCAGAATGCTAAGGCTCTACAATTGACAGCCCAATAGTAGTGTTGGAAATTTGGCAAACTTAAGCCCCCCCAATGACCTAGACTTACATGCAGTTTAGATATTCTGTGTGCTTCAAAGCCCCCAGAAAAATGGCAGTACAATAGAATCGAAAGTTTTAAAGAACTTTTTGGGCAAATAAATTGGTAAGATATTTTGATATTTTTATACCATCAGATGTCATCAAAGTCACCAAATATTTAGGTTTTGACTGAATTAATTTTTTTGTACTGAAGTAAAAGTAATATTAAATATAACATACAGATAAGCATATTTTACATAAAAATATGGTAAATTTAGAGGTAAATAAAAAAAATCCCCAAAAAATGCATAAATTGATGTTCCCTCAGAAGTGAGTGCAGATCAAAATGACAGTGACTTTCTTTTTAAAACTTTTTTTTTTTTCAGTTGGTCTGAACAAAACCAGCAGACATGTTTCTTTCTTGTTCAGATAACATTTTCGGGTGAAAGTTCTTATTTTGGACATACCTAAAACGTATTATCTGTAATTCTGAAGTACAGTAAATATCCACAGCAGTGTGGTGACTGACAGCCACACTCCTCAAAACATTAGATTCATCCACGCTGAAGAGACGTGCTGATGCACAACCCACGTAAAGAAGATAATTCTACAAATAACTGCAATTGCAGGCTTTGCAGGTTCAATTGTAGAGGCTTTTGATGTTATTGTTAGGCCTGTTATTATATATATTATAACTGATGTTGGTAACTGATGTTGGCTTATGTTTTTATTTCATTTCTCCTTTTTATTCAAATTATTTCCAAACGTGTTAACTAAGCCTATATCATGAAATATCTCTCTTCTCAAATATGTGTAGTAAATGCATTTTGCACCTTTATAGATCATGTTAGTTGATCTATAATGGGCGATAGGCAAAGTATCCTAATGTTAGTGTAATCTATTAATTACGCATAAAACCAGTCTTCCCTACCAGATATGTACGGTTTTTGCTGCGGCGCCCGGGGAGCAGTTGGGGGTTCGGTGCCTTGCTCAAGGGCACCTCAGTCGTGGTATTGAAGGTGGAAGAGAGCGCTGTACATTCACTCCCCCCACCTACAATCCCTGCTGGTACAAGACTCGAACCCACAACCTTTGGGTTACGAGTCCGACTCTCTAACCATTAGGCCACGACTTCCCCCTAAACAACATCCATTTATGTGGCCACGAGTGTGATGCATAAACAAACCTGTGAGACCATAGCATTGCACGCGATGTAGACAGCATTCAAATGAAGTTGATCATGAATAAATGCTACATAAAGTACATAAAATAAAATTTCATTTTTATCCATCTGACAGTCTTGTAAGTCCATTAACTGATCGTCTGTTTTCCGCAATATTTTATATTATTATTATTATTATTATTCTATTCATTATGTATTTGATTTATTTTCCCTTCATTTCGATCTCTTTACTCCCTTGGTTTGAATGGGCATGATGCCTCTGGATTGAATATAGATAGCCTAAGTAATGGCCCAGGCACCCAGAGGTTATCACCCTCTCAGAGGTTTGGGACTTTGCAGATGCATTAAGTTTGAATGTTATACTTTGGGTTAAAAAAATGTGTCTCGAGTAAAATAAAGTTAATACAAAAATGAATAAGCATTAAGATTGTGTACAAGCCATTTCTACTTTTTGTTTATGTTATCTGATGATTTACTGTCTGTCTGTCTGTTTGCTTGTTTTTTTTCCTCTACAGGAAAATAAAAACTACAGGAAAACAAAAATAAAGTCACCGAGACATTCTTCAACAAGAAAAATTAATACATTCAGATTTTGGAAAGTCACGAGGAAGAGTAAACGATGTAGTGTTTAAAATCTTCATTTTATTGACACTTTAAGCTTAACCTAATCACAAAAACTGTCATGTTGCATTTAGCTAGGAAAATACATGGCAATTAAAAGTTGTAATGGACTTATAATACAAAATTTAGCAGTTTAGGCCTACTTGACTTGAAGGATGTGCTTGTATTTGTACATGTCACTTATATATACTCAGATTACTGTTTTCCTTATAGCATCTGATAGAAAACAAAAAGCTAAATTCACAATGAATGTTTTCTCTAGGCCTTACAATAGGCTATAATGAGAATGGGAAAAACTGTTGTAGACTTGAATTAAATGTAGCCTATTAGATTTTTACAAAAATTACAACGTTTTGCAGATTACGATAACGTTATAGTAATTATTTTATATAGGCTGTTGCGCCATTACAGAACATGTGTGTTTTAATGCATCCATAGAGTGGCGCGTGCTTGCTTCATACTTTTACTTTCGGTTTAAAGGTGTGGCGAGACAATGGCACACAGATCAGGTAAGATGTTTAGCTAACTTTATGTACTAGCATGATACACGTTTCTTTAATTATCTATCATAATCTAATCCTTCTGTGTCAACCGATCGTTTCTCTTATTAAATTATATTTTAGTAGTTGGACGTAACGTTACTTGTTTAAAATTGGTGCATCGAAACAGGAAGAGCTAAGCCTACAGCACGCATAGCATATTTCACACCAATAGTGCAATACTCACAGATTACGGTGACGCATTGCTGCCACACATATTTTTTTCCCCACTCAATTATGTCGTAATAACCAGATGATATGTCATAAAAACAACATATTTTCTCGTAATAACGAGATGTTTTCTCGTTAAAACGACATATTTTCTCCTAAAAACGAGATATGTCGTAAAAACGATATAATTTTCTCGTTAAAACTACACATTTTTTCACGTAATAACGTCATATTATGTCATAAAAACGATATGTTTTCCGTTATTATAGATATGGTATATGTGAGCGAGCTAAGAGACACGCTGTCGCCACAGTCTGACATAAACGAGGATCTGCAAGCTGCTGAAATTAATAATAATCAATAACTGCACTCAGACCCACGACTCGTTTATGATCAGATCAAAACAGTTATTTTTGAGTAATTGACTCTGGGTTTAATATATCTTTATTTGAATGACTGAAGTTTGATTTAACAATTTTGTCAGCGCTGCTAATGCAAAGCGATGCAACTCACAAATTGACAAATGCTGTAAACCTAAACATATTAATAAACTATAGAAGCCGATGCATCACAGAATCATCAGGAGGTCAGAACACGGTTCAGTGTTTGGGGTGTCGTCGATTAAACGAGGATCGTGGATCATAAATGAGTATGCTATGCTATATAAACTAAAGCAGAAGTTAATGATAGCCTTTGAATTAATAAAATTCACATTAAAAAAAAATTAAGAAAATTAACCATGGTTTTACCACAAAAAAAAAAAACATGGTTACTATAGGCTAGTTAAACCATGGTAACCATAAATTAACCATGGTTTTGCTACACTAACCATAGTTTAACCATGGTATTTGCAGTAAAACTGGTTGTACAAATGGTAATCAATACGCCAAAAAAACAAAATATGGTTACTACACTTACTACAATAAAACCATAATTAATTTGGGTTACACTTTATTTCGATAGTCCACTTTAGACATTCTACTAACTATAAGTAACTTTGTAACTACATGTCAACTACATGTCAACAAATTCTAATTAATTTACAACTACACGTCTACTAACTCTCAGAGTAGACTGTTAGAGTAGGTTTAGGGTTAGTAGAATAAGTTGACATATACTTGCAAAGTTTCTTAAAGTCAGTATGTTGTATGTTGCTGACCCATCAAAATAAAGTGATAGAACATATTAAGCAGACTGTCTACTAATACTCTAATGACTGCTAGTTGACATGTAGTTGCAAAGTTACTTACTGTTAGTAAAATGTCTAAAGGGGACTATCGAAATAAAGTGACGTGACATGTGGCCAAGTATGGTGACCCATACTAGGAATTAGTGCTCTGCATTTAACCCATCCTTAGTGCACACACACACAGCAGTGAACACACACACACAGTGAACACACACTCGGAGCAGTGGACAGCCATTTATGCTGCGGCACCCGGGGAGCAGTTGGGGGTTCGGTGTCTTGCTCAAGGGCACCTCAGTTGTGGTATTGAAGGTGGGAGAGAGC